CTAACATGACTCTTACCTGCACAAACTTAAATACATCAACATATGATGACACAATAACTCAATTAGATATAATACCAGGATGTTGGATGATACATAACTGCTCCATCTTGACAAAAGGTAACGATACTTATATAACTCAAATAGCAATAAAGTCAAGCCATCTATACAGTACACCAAAATTATTTCTAGAAGATCTTGAGAAAGAACATTATGATCAGTTTATAAAAAAGAACCAGGAAATTCAAGCAATATCAGAACATAATCAGAAACAACTAGAATCAATACATAAAAAGATAATGAATGCACAACACACCTTGATTAGAGAACAACATGAGGTACACCAATTAGTAGGATTGGTAAGAACTAATACAATCATTCCTGTAAGTTGGAATACTGATATGAAAAAGTGTACTTTCTTTGATTACTTTGCAAGGTTAATCCAGCTCGACTTTACTTGCACCCCACTTGTTCACTGGTGGGAATATGTCAAAGAAGCATTATATATGGTATCCATCATATTTCTCTTAGTTGTCTTCCTCAGATTAACACGCAGAATCTTCAGAAAACGAAAGCATACAAAGATCAAGAAGGCGTGGCAATCCCTCAGGAAAACGATATTATGGCACCATCAAGAAGGAACGAAAACCGCTCCGGACGGAGATGTGATTTAATGCAAAGATATGGACTAAGAAAAACCTTAACATACTATTATGCTATGCATCTTGCACCCATGAAGGATTTGCTATATTACATGGGAGTATTTCCTAAAGATTATGTAACAAAAAGGAATTGTCATTTCTGTAAAAATAAGTTCTCCACACGATTCTTATCAGGAGAACAGGAGGAAGATAGATTGATAATGTTATTTTATCACTTCTTGATGCATCATGAAAATTGGTTAGAACCACACCCATTGGGAAGATATTTACATATGCTTGCAAGCCTAATATCATGTTATGTTTGCAAAGGAAATCATGATAATTATACAGTAACCAAAAATTTAATTAGACATGACCCAGAAAGATCATACCACTTACTAGAAGGTGATTGGTATTGTAGAAGCTCAATAGAATCAGTATATGTCCCAAATTCATTAGAATCATGGTGTGTTAGAGTAATGTTAAAACCATTGTTACACGATCTATTGTTTGAATATTCAGCATATATGACTTGGCGTGAAATGGATTTGATGCACAATACTACAACTCATCATGTATCATATGCCACTTAGATGCGCCGTAAGACTTTGTAAACCCCCGTTTTGCGAACCAGCTGGATCCCCAAAATCAAACAGGGAATCCTAATAGTGACACCTTTCATGTTGAAATCATTTCAGGTGTCAGGGGGTGGAATGTAGTGAACATGGAAGCAGCTAGGGGAAATCCCCATGCTGCAGGTAGCAGGCAAGATAAGAAACGCAGCCTGAGTGTTAGCTTGGAGTGGTTTGGAGTGATTAGGTTTGCAGTGAGATCATACTAAGTGTGTTAAGGGTGTGACAAGCTAGAGTGAAGTCATTACAACCTGTTTGGAGTGATAGCAATGTGCGAAACGTGTGATAATGATAAGAAGAGGTATAAAAGACCCCAGGAACAGACCAACGTCGTCCGTCCTTGACGACCCGTCAAGTGGACCCGCCGAAGCTCTGCCCGAGACGCAGACACTCTGCCAGAGACGCTCTCCCGTTCGAGACGTCAGATGCCGGAGAACATCATGAGACCTTGAAGCACGTCGCAGCGCGACCCTGCCGCGTCCGACACCACCGGCGCCACAGACTCAGGTCGTATACCAGGACTCTTTTCCGCAATGACTCTAGCCTAGCCTTGGTGCCAGCCCGATTACCTTGGGCTGGCATACTGCTTATATTCCTTTGACTACCGCTATGCTTATTATGCTTATTTTCATATTCTCTTGTATGTGTGTGTTTGATGATATAATAATAAATGAGATTATTCTCGAAAAGCCACTTGCAGTCGATTAATATACGTGGGATCCCGAAACATAAAATCGGTGCTCGCGACACTTATGTTCCAAGGGTAGAAATTAGTCAGTAAACAAGGAAATGAATAAATGATAACTTCATCAAAGCAAGTAGTATAAAGAAAATAAATCAGGGTTTTGCCCATTTTTTGTTTTTTATGGTTTTTTTTGGTACTGGGGATTGAACTTGGGTCCTTGGGCTTGCAAGGCAGGCGCCAGAACCTTTGATCTAAATCCCTGGCCCTATTTTTTGTTTTTTAAATAAAAATTCTCAGTGTAGCCAGATGTGGTGCACACCTGTAATCCTAGCACTCAGGAGGCTGGGGCAGGAGGCCCATGAGTTTGAAGCCAGCCTAGGCCACATAGTTCAAGGCCAGCCTGAACTACATATGTTGACATGGTCTAAAACAAGCAGAGAAAACTGAAAAGAAATCCTTCATACAATGTTGAGCCATGGGCCTGTTTCTTGAAGATAACATAGCAATGCTTAAAACCTTTGGCCCAGGAATTCCACTTCTAGAACTTCATCCTAAGGCAATAATCATGGGCATGGACCAAGTTTTATGTACAAAGATGTTGACTGCAGCTTTACATACAATAGCATAGGATCTGAAAGCAAAGTAAATGTCTAGCAGTGGGGAAAATTTAAGTGAGAATAATCTCTCCACACATAGATATTTAGGTTAATGCTGGTAGGTTCGGTTTTTTAGAAGTGTTTTAAATGTTAAAATGTCTTACAGAGTAATACAGCACATTCTAAAAACACGACCCCCCCCCCCAAAAAAAAACCAAGAACACAGAAGTGCAAAAATAAAGGTATTAGCTGGGCATGGTGGCACATACTTGTATGGCCAGCTACTCTGGAAACTGAGGCAGGAAGATCACAAGTTCAAGTCCAACCTGGGCAGTTTAGCAAGATTCTACCTAAAGATAAAAAAGCAAAAAAGGGCTGGGGATGTAGTTCAGTGGTAGAAGACCCTTGATCCCCAGTACTCCAAAAACAAACTAAAAAATAAAAGGCACAAGTCATTCTGGGTGATTGCCAGAAGGAGTTACTTGCACTGTTTGCTGTGAGCCTGGAAAATATGAATATGGGGCTTCCTGTGGCTGCCCAAGCCAGAAGTAAGGAGTTGATCCCAGAATGAAGCCCAAGCACTGAGCAGCAAAGTTTGACAGGGTGAGACAGAAGGGCCGACTGGGCCCTGGCTGGGGCCCCTCAGGAGCCTGAAGCTCCTCCTTTTCAGTCTTTCCAGTTACATGAAACAATGGCAGCCTTTCTGCCTTATCTTTGAACTGAAGCGGGTCATGATTAATACAGCTGGGCTAGCTGCTTTGTTAAAATCAAGATATAATGAGTTGTGAACCTCTCCTACTATTGTAGACTGCTAAGCTAGTTAGAAAATATTCTAAGGCAGTTAGGCAGGCCAGGCCCTCAGCACAGGAGACAAATGTGGCCTAAGGCTCTTTCACCCTAGGCCAGTATTCAAGAAAAAGAGAAAGCACTAAGCTTATGTATCTCAAGAGATAAATAGCAGTGATTGATGTTCTTCTAAACAGGCATCAGTCACCTTGGATAGGGACCAAAATCTCCCCAGCCCAGGCCTTTCCAGAAATCCTTGTTAGGTCCATGTACATTTGCTACATGACCAGCTTCCCCATTTAATCAATATTACCTAAGTGACTATACTTGATATAATCTTATTGATTGATCATAGTTTTGTCCCACCTCACGATTTCCCATTGGATCAATACTAGCTAAGCAACTATCCTTGTAACCTTAATAGTTGACCGTAGTTTTGTCCCATGTTGTACACGCCTCACCCTGTGGCTTTCTTTGCTCAATAAAACATCATTTTTTTGGTACAGGGGATCAACCTCAAACTTTTAAGCAGGCTTACCCTCAAACTCACTTTACGGACAAAGATTTAATGGGTTGTTATTTAGCATAGAATCTACAGTGAAGTGTGTATCCAGTGTGGAGGCAACAAGTCAACAATTGAGAGAAGGACCATATTCAAAGTTTTTAGGATTTAGGGGCTTTGAGACTCTCACATCTGAATAATGTGACCAGGTGTGGCCTACAAACAACCTAAGAATTTCAGTTTTTGCAACTGGAAGTTCCCTATCAGTTATATGTGTCCGTTGTAAATAAGGAAAATTCGCAAAGTTATAAAGTGTAAACTCCTAAATGTCCTTCAGTCACAGAAACACCGTTTAACAGTTTGGTGTTTTTCTTTCCAGGCTGCCAACAATTAAGAAAACCCATGATTAACACGAAAATAAATACCATTCAGAGTCACAGACTTTTTTGGCTTACTCTTATTAAGGAATCAGTCTTCTGGAGCCAGTATACACGGATCACCGAATTAAAAAAACTGAGTTCGACTATTATGAGATTTGGGGTGCTATTAAAATTGGATACTTGGATCCCTCGCCCCACTTCCCGGGCCCGGAGGCGCCGACTTTTCATACAATTTCCTCACCTGGCTCCTCCACCCGGGCAGCGTTGCCCGGCCAGCAGGCACCTCTCAGCAGGCGCCTCTCTGCGCTCGCCGCCTTCTCAGCCGCAACTCCCCGCCGCCCTGACT